CTGACTGGCGGAACGGACGGGGGGGGCGGCGGGTACAGCTGGCTCTGCCTCTAGACAGGCAGAGCCAGCTGTCGCCCACGCAGCTGGGTGGATCCAGACAGTAATGTCGGGATCCGTCCCGGCGGCGGCGGTCTCAGTATACCGCGAGCTGTGGCGTGCATTGGCAGCCCATTCATTTTTGTTAGAACCCCTGTTAACCCCTTCCCAGAGTAAGTGGAAAGGGTTCAGCTCCCACCCACAGGACCCCTTTAAAGTCAAAAAGTTGAAGATAGATTATATTAAAGTGCATGTAAAGCCCAAAAAATGTTTTAACAGAATATGGAAGGTTAGAAGCCATGTCAGGTTTTATCACCATCTGTCTTCATGATGAGGAGATTCACCCTCTATCTGGTCCTGGGGACCATTGTCTCAGTACAGAAAGTAATGGGAGATTCATTGGATTTGGTGACAACTAAATGGGAATTTCCACGCACTTTGTAGAGATCTCCTCTTACTTCCTGCTGTGTCCCTGGGACAGGAAGTGATGGGAAATCCCGCAAAGAGACGAAGACAAAAATAGCCTTCTTAACCATTCCCTATGCTATCGTTTACGGAGCCATTAACAATTTGATATGAAGTCAATTGAAAATAAACATTAGCAGATACGGGTGACAGACAGGAGGATAATTGCTACAAGAATCCTAATAAATGAGCCCAGAAGTGTGTGTTTCCCGCACAGAGCGGGATGATTGACAGCTCGGTTAAGCTGGATAATTACAGCCGCTGTCCTTGGTGCTGAAACCACACTGAGCTGCCTCTATGGCCATGCTGAGCTGGAGTACACAGGGCTTCATATGGGGATTGCTTCCTCTCCCAATACAGAAGCAGTTTGTAAATGAGTCTGAATTAGATAGACATTTCTGCTTGTGTCTCTCCCAACCTATAGACATCCGAGGACCGAAGAGCCCATCGTATCCTGGGTTTCCCAATACCTGGGGTCAGCAGACAATGTCTGTGCCGTATCAACAGCTGTAGGCTGGAATAAGGCTTATGTGGCAGGAGAAGCCCCCATTCTACCCTACCCACCGTCATACACACATGAACTCACACCCCCATTTTGGGTTATTTTAATATCTCGTGCATTGTATAAGCTTTTCGCATCATTGTAAACTCTTTTTACTGCCAGCTTTATGCTGGCCGCAGTATAAAACCCAAGTGGTATAATGCATGCTATAGGCTACCTGAACAAGGCGAAGAGCAATGGGCACGATGCAAATACCCAGAGAGCCGTTGCTTGATGGTCCCTATAGTTGGAGTTCCCTACCATAGAGCCAGACTCTCTTCCCAAACATCTTTGGGTGTGTTTTTGAGCCTTGGGGTTTTCCAGCTCCTAAGAATAAATGGACACAGCTGGTATGTGTAGACCAAGGAACTCAGCACAGGGATGGTGGGAGCCCCTCACAATGGGCATAGCAGGTGTACAGACCTAGGAACCCAGCACACGAAAAGTAAGAGCCCCTCATAATGGGCATGGCAGGTGTACAGACCCGGGAACTCAGCACAGGGGTAGTGGGAGCCCCTCACAATGGGCATAGCAGGTGTACAGACCCAGGAACCCAGCACACGAAAGGTAAGAGCCCCTCATAATGGGCATGGCAGGTGTACAGACCCGGGAACCCAGCACAGGGAGAGTGGGGACCCCTCACAATGGGCACAGCAGGTGTACAGGCCAGGAACACAGCACAGGGATGGTTGGAACCCTTCATATTGCACACAGGTTTACAGAACAGGGAACTCAGCCGAGGAATGGTAGTAACCCCTCATAATGGGCACAGCCGGTGTACAGACCCAGGAACTCAGCACAGGGATGGTGGGGGCCCCTCATAATGGGCACAGCAGGTGTACAGACCCAGGAACTCAGCACAGGGATGGTGGGGGGCCCTCATAATGGGCACAGCAGGTGTACAGACCCGGGAACTCAGCACAGGGATGCTGTGAGCTCCTCAAAGTGAGCACAACATGTGTGGAGACCTGGGAGCACAGGGCAGCGATCCCACCAATAAAGTCCTTTAGAGATAGAAGAGACTATCAAGGGGTTTAACTCTAAAGTATGAAATCTTGGTGGACTGACCCTTTAAATCGATATTCTTCTAGACCGGAGCATTTTCTTATCATGGTAACGGGTCTTTTTTTTTTTTTACATCTCTGATCTGTTTGCAGGGTCAGCGTCACTCAGCATTGATGGGCCTGGATACCATTCAGCTCCAGAACACGTCAACATCTCCAACTCCAACATCCACCATCAACCCGGCCATCGTTACTCCACAGCCGTCCTACTTTGCAGGATCACATGACAGAGCTTTACTCTGGAACTTCATGGGCCTCATTTACTAAGGTGGTATCCTCTATGTCTGGCCAGGCGTTACCTTTCAGTGATTTACTAAAAGTGAATGTCATTTATATGTAAGAAACGCACACGCCAACACCCGGCTGGGACTTGGGAACGTGCAAACCTCCCATCCCAATCCAAACAGGCATACCCAGGGGCGTATCTGCCGCGAGGCAAACAAGGCGTTTGCCTGGAGCGGCAGATTCGCTGAGGAAGGCGGGCAGGTTTCTAGAACTGAACACAATTATCTCTGCAGAATCTTCACGCAATGTTGATGTTTTATTTATTTGCTTCCGCTCAGAAATGTGTCATCAGAATGAGTTACATTGTTTCAGTTTGTGTATCAGTTCTTCTTAAATATAGAAAAAGTATAAATAAAGAAAAGAATGAACAAATATTTATCATTTTGTTTCAATGCTCTAAAAAGAATGAATCTGTGACCACAAATAAAATGGTGACGTTGTCATTCTCCTCGGTGATGAGGGAAATCTTTATTTACACTTTGTGATTTCTGTGATTTCCCTTTCTGTATAATGTAATCTAATAAAAAGATATAACGGGGTACTCCTTATAATTCATGAGCCCCTCCCCCCTTCTGCCCGCTCGCAGTTAATTCAGATCGATGGGAGATTTTCTTCGTCCTGTGCGTGTCGTAGGTGCGCGGGTTCGTAGCATCGTTGTGTTGGCGGAGAAGCAGCGCAGAGCGTACGACTTTAGTAAATAAGGCCCGGCGCTGCGTCCATCCCGTCATGAACATGTTTCTGGTGTCTTGTAAATGTGACAATAAACGTGTTTCCATATTTGTAGTTCAGTTTCCTGTTTAAAAACAAAAAAATGTTTAGGATTTATCTTTTAGGAGAACTCCACCCAATGCTAATTTTTGGTTTTGGGTAATTGCTGTTAAGGTGTAACGTCCGATTTATTTGATATAAATGATTGACAGGTGATTGCTGGAAAGGCGTCATTTGAGAAACCTTGGTCAGTATTGGTCACAACTTGAAGTTTTGGCCCGACATGTAAAATGAAATGTCGAAATTTGGGACCATGTTTCATGTTACACCCAAATTTAATGGGGTAACATGAAACATTACCAAACCCCTGACCTTTGACATCCCCCCTCCCACTTACCTGAATCACAAGGTCCTTGTAGCTGCTTTCTTCACCTTGCATTCAGCCGCTGTGTCTGACTCCGCCCACACAGCCCCATCATCCATTCACAGATCCATTTTCATGTTACACACAAATTTAGGGGGGTAACATGAAACATTACCCAACCCCTGACCTTTGACATCCCCCCCTCCCTCTTACCTGAATCATTAGGTCCTTGTACCTGCTTTCTTCACTGTGCATTTAGCCGTTGTGCCTAGCTCCGCCCACACAGCCCCGTAATCCATTGACAGATCCATTTTCATGTTACACCCAAATTTAGGTGGGTAGCATGAAATATAACCCAACCCCGACCCTTGACATCCCCCCTGCAACTTACCTGAATCACAAGGTTCTTCTATATGCTCTCCATGGTTTGCATTTAAATTTGGCGCGGCTGGGCCTGGCTCCGCCCACACACCCCTGCCCCTCTACAAGTCCCATCTGCTATTGTGTCAGAGGAACCCATAGACCTAAATGGAACACAAGTACGGTGACGTCACCACACTCATTGTCCATTGATTACTTCCTCCCCACGGCCGGATTTACTCTCTCCGCTGCCCCAAGGCCAGGTTCCTCAATGTGCCCCCCTACCCGCCAACCCGTCCCCAATCCCCCACCCCACCCCATGGAGAATGGCAGACCTGCAGGCTGCATACAATGATCTTGGCGACATCGCCGAGATCACATGTACAGAACGAGCGGTGACTTCCCCCCGCTGTACATTTAGCCCTGCTTGCCCAAAGCTGGGCTAAATGTAGAAAACAACTACCCGCCCGGCGCCCCAAACTGCATCTCCCGGGCATCGGGAGATAGGAATTCCACACCCCTGCCGCCCCTCTGCTCCCTGCTGCCCCAAGGCCGGGCCTCGGTTGGCCCTGTGGGAAATCCGTCCCTGTTCCTCGCTCCTCAAACAGAAGGTCCGTACCGTGACACAGACCTGGGGCTGAGGGAGTGGCCTGCAGGAGCCTGGGCATTGCACATGTGATGCACTGATCGTGCTTACAATGCTTTGCAGGCTCCAGTGCAAAAATGTTACAAATGCGCATTTTTCTTTGATGGATTTATTTTAAAAAAATGTTTTAAAAGGTGGAAAATGCTTTAAAATAGAAAAGTCTTCTCCGTGTATCTACGTGGACGATGATCGACTTATAGGGGTAATACAGGAAATGAAACCTTCCCCCTTTATATAATGTAAAGACTGAACCCCCCCCCCCCCAACATTTTTCTTCTAC